TAGACTTCAAAAGGATACATTTCAAAGGTTTGCTGGACTGTTAGAAGAAGGGAAAGATCCCCTTTGTTATCCATCTCTCAGGGAGCAAAAAGGACAACACTCTGAATACATGAAAGTTGGATGGTGGTCCTGGTGATGCTGAGTGATTGCTTTACGTGAGAAACTTATCTTAGACAAATGTTTTAGCCTGTTAAAAGTTATGATTAGTCGCTTAGAAGTGTGCTATGCATTTATTTTACTGGTAACCCTCACTGTTTCCATTATTCTTACTCAGTACTCCCTTGAATCTGTGAATCTCTGTTCTTTGTTAATAAACTTATTCTCCTTTTATTATGAAGTCACCTCAGTGCTGTGATCTAAAGTAGAGGGTGCCCTCTCAGCTGAATCAAGTAAGCTGGTGAGTACATTGTCTCTTTGGAGGCAGAGGACTTGGTAATTACTGTGAGTGTTCAGTGACAGGGGCTGGACACAGCAAGGGGAAGCTTCTGGGAAGTCTGGGAACTGGGGTACACCAAGTGTTAACCTGCAAAGCAAAATTAGGGCTGGCAGAGTTCTTTCTTTCCTCTGCAGCATTGGGCACAGGTCACTTGCAGCTTTAAACTAGTGTAAATGGTGAAGTCTCTGTAACTTGAAGTTTTTAAACCATAATTTGAGGACTTCAGTAACTCAGCCTGAGGTTAGGGGTCTTTTCAGGAGTGGGTGAGGTTCTGTGATCTGCATGTGCAGGAGGTCAGACTAGATGATCACTATGGTCCCTTCTGACCCTAAACTCTATGAATCTATGAGACTTCCTGATGGTGATCTTTCAAATATATTTACCTGACTATGCTTTTTCCCCATCTGTTGCTTGTCCTAATAGTTCAGAGTTAATAGGTCCAAAGGGAGACTCAATCATAAACAATTTAAAGAACTGCTGCGTTAACAAGTATGAACAACAGCAGAGCTGATAACAATCTGCTCCAATAAGTAACACTGCTTTTAGATTCATTAAGACTCCCCAAGCACACCTGGGGCACTGTTTACATGGCTCTTGGCATGGCCAGTACATGGTGTGATAAGTGGATCACAGAGCTGCAGATGCATGTGTAGTAATTCTGCTTATTATAGGTAACAGTGAATTAAGTTTGCAATGATCGCCCTCAGGTAATATGTAAGTGTAATTAACTGGCTGTGAGAGACCAACATATTGAACTGATAACTGGCAAGACAACAAATTAAAAAATACAAACTGCAGGAGATACATGGGGCACTGTACAGACTACATAACTCAGTTCTTTCCTTTAGCCTTCTCTTTTTATCCTTAGTTTTTGGGACAAAGCTTTTGTTTTGTTTTTTATTTGTTTTTACTGTGTTCAAGGCATAATAACCTACAAGTGACAGATTTGAAACACGGGGCAAAGAATGATTAAAGCTTCTATTACTGCAGGATAAAGTCTGTCTTGTTTCTAAGCTGTCGATCAACTGTCAGGTTTGCTAGAAACATTTCAAGACCCATTGAGTCACCTCAGGAGCTCATGGTTGTTTAATGAAACACAAAGCAGGGGGAGGGAGCATAAAACTGAACTGAAAATGCTGCACTTTCTTCTGGCCACAACGTCTTGTAAATTGTTTTTTTGCACAGAGGAGACTGTAAACTCAGCACATCGAACCTGGCACAGCTTCTGTCTGATTGTTTTCTTGGGGCAGGAGGGAGGCCCCTATAGAACAAGAAGGGGCTTCAGCCCCAGAAGCTTCTGGTTGTTGGGAGAATCATTGGAGACCAAGGCCATCTGCATAGAGACCTTGTGCATTGCTTCCTGGCGTCTCTTCACCAGCCTTCATGGCAGCCTGAGTCTAGCAGGATCTATATGCAGAGCACAGAGAGGGAGAACAAGCTAATAATCCTGAATGAGCTATCTGCATCTATACAGTGATACCTGGAGGAGACTAATGATAGATCTTCTCTGCCTGACTTTCAGCCAGTTTCTCTCTCAGTGGTTCTGAATGTATTGGGAGAACTTCATGCCATAACTTGTGCTTTGGATCCCATGAATGGTGAGGTCCAGTTCTTTACTGTTGGAGACTGCCAGTGCCTCCTTTAAGGAGGGCAGGGAGCCAACAGCTTTAAAGGAAGCACGTTTGACCTTTATTCAAACAGCCATCTCTTGACACTACCAAGCAGTACCTAAGCTTCTAGTTCTGGTTAAGCCTATGGAAAAAATTGTGTGAGACGACTCTCAGGGTATTTTTATGCCACCAACTTCCCTGACCCTGTCAATCCAGGTTCCAACCATAAGTAGCAGATCTCCTGCTGATGGATAAAGATCAGGCACCCATAATTATTAGATCCTTCAGCTATCTCTGATACCATGGATTATGAGGTGTTGATGCAACTACAGTGCCCATCAGAAGTGGATGTGACTCCTGTTCCATGGTTTCATTCCTGTCACGCAGAGTTCGCAGAGGTTAGTGTCAGACAATTGCTTTCCTGCCTGAAGGAAATGTGGGATATTACAAGATTCTCTGCTGTCATCCCTCTTATTCTGGGAGTATGTGAGGTTGTTCGGACAGCAGGTGAGGATACAGGGACTGGAATGCTTTCAGTATGAGGATACTCAGCTTTATACCTGTATTCCATTCAGCCTGGAGAGTAGGGTTGCCAACTTTCTAATTCCAGAAAACTGAACATCCTTGCCCTGCCCGCTGCCCCGCCCCTTCCCCAAGGCCCCGTCCCTGCCTGAGGCCCCGCCCCTGGCTCACTCCATCCCCCTCCCTCCGTCACTTGCTCACCTCCACCCAAGGCCCAAACAGGCATATTTATTGTTTTGATGGATGTATTAGGCTAAGTTCAGGTTTTATTTGTTCCAGGACGCTAGAGCTGGCAGCACAATAGTCAAAATAGTCAATTTTTTAAAAAATGAAATTTCACAAAAGTCTTCATGATTCTTTCCCTCCCCTTCCCATTTTTCATAACCAGCTCCATGTTTTTTGTTCATTAAAATTACTGTAATTTTATGTGTGAAATTAGGACCACACATTATCACAGCTGCAATGGGTCCATTAAAGGCCCACTCCCGAAGCCCAAATATGAATCCATAGAGCACAACCACAAAAATGCACACCTGTCCAGATAACTATACAAATAAATCTGTAGAAACTGACTCCCACACCTACCTGCAGATACACATGTGTATTCATGTGTACACACCTAACATGCACTAACACATATACTTCCACATTATTTATTATTACAATTGTTGTTTAGTGCGTAGAGACCCTAACTAAGATCAGGGCTCCAAGTTGGTAAGTGCTGGACACACACATAAAAAGAGAGAGTCTGCAACAAAGAGTTTATAATGTAGCTAGACAAAGGTAGGGAGACATGTATGATCCATTGGCTCTTCTGCAATTACTAGTCAACAACATTCACTTTAAGAAATAATACATTTCTTTTAGAGTTCCTTTCTCTTTCGAAGACTTGTTATGAAAGTCATAACATTTTATGTCATCAATTCTTTTGTTCGCAAGCCAGCAAAAGGAATAAAAGTCAGAGTTAGGCTGCAAATTTTATTCACACAGGTATATACACAAGCAGCAATACACGCACCTTCCTACACCAAGACACACAGTCTCTTACAAACATACAATGCATGCATGCACACACTTGCCTACAGAGAGACACTTTTTCATACACTTTTCCAGGGGTTGCCTAAATCACCCAGCCAGGAAAGGAGGAGGGTGAGCTGGAGGGGAAAAGATGGAGACGTGGGGGTGGAGGAGAGAGGGTGGGGAGGGAAAGAGGCCAAGGACGAGAGCAGGGTGGGGGTGAGAGGGGTATGTGGGGTGGATGGGGATGCAGGGGGAGGCAGAAGGCTACAGGTGCATGAGGATGTGGGATGCACAGAGGTGTATAGGGAAATAATGGGAGTGCAGCAGTGTATGAGGCGAATGGAGTGCAGAGGTGTGGGGGGTGAGGGACATGGGGGTGGTGGCTCTGGGAGGTGGAGAAGATGGGTGGGAGAGTGCTGTAAGGGGTACAGGGATGGGATGGGTAGGTGGGGGGCAGGATGGGATGGGAGAGGGATGCAATGACGGGGGATGGGAGTGCAGGGGGTGAACAGAGAGGGATGCAGTGAGGAGGTAGGTGCGGGGGGGTTGGATGGGGAGGGATGCAATGACGAGGGTGGGACTGCAGGGGGAGGGACAGGGAGGGATGCAGTGAGGGGGATAGCGATGTAGGGGGTTGGGATGGGGAGGAATGCAGTGAGGGGGGTGGGGGGATGAGGGTGGGACAGGGAGGAGTGCAGTAAGGGGGATGGGGGTGTGGCTGCATTGGGACGGGGAAGGATGCATTGAGGGAGATGGGCGTTTAGGGGTGGGACAGGGAGGGATGCAGTGAGGGGGATAGGGATGTGGGGGTTTGGGACGGGGAAGGATGCATTGAGGGAGATGGGCGTTTAGGGG